ATGGATGGATGGATAGAGGAATAGGTGGATGGATGGATGGATGGATGGATGGTTGGATGGATACATAGATAGAGTGAGCTATATGGTTCAGTAGCTAGATCAATGGGCCTTAGAATCAGGGAGACGTGAATTCAAATCAGTCCCCAGACACTTATTAGTTACGTGACCTTGGTCAAGTCACTTAACCTCTGTCTGCCTCAATTTCCTCATTTGTGGAATGGGAATAAATAATAATCCCTTCCTCACTGGAGTGTTGTAAAGATCACATGAGAAACCATCAGTAAAGCACTTTGCTAAAGCCCAATTTAAATGTTATTATTATAGAATAATTAAATATAATATATAATTACATATTATATGCTACATTATAATTATGTGAAATAATATAATTATAATGTATAACTAATCATTACATATAACATGAGTAAATAATAATAATAATAGTAATAATAATAATGGCATTTATATACCACATTGGGATTTGCAAATCCCTTCATAGACTTTATCTCATTTGAGCATCACAACAACTTTGTGAAATAAGTACTATTTGCCTCAGTTTCCTCATCTGTAAAATGAGAATAATGATAGCACCTTCCTCCCTAGATTGTTATGAGGCTCAAATGACATAATAATTGTAAAGCATTTAGCGCAGTGCCTGGCCCATAGTAGGCACTATAGAAATGTTAGTTACTACCACTACAATTACTACTACTACTACTACTACTACTACTATAGAAATGTCAGTACTTAGCATAGTGCCTGGTGCATAGTAGGCACTATAGAAATATTAGTTACTACCACTATTACTACTACTACTATAGAAATGTCAGTACTTAGTATGGTGCCTAACACATAGTAAGCACCATAGAAATGCTAGTTACTACCAATACTTCTACTACTACTATTACTACTACTACTACTACTATAGAAATGTCAGCACTTAGTATGGTGCCTGGCACATAGTAGGCACTATAGAAATGTTAGTTACTACTACTACTACTACTATTACTACTACTACTACTACTATTACTACTACTACTACCACTGTTAGTAATGTTATAGAAATGTCAGCACTTAGTATGGTGCCTGGCACATTAGTAAGTGCTATATAAATCTTAGTTATTATTATTATCATTACTATTAATACCTCCCAGGGTTGTTATGAGGATCAAATGATATCATAATTATAAAGTGAATTGCACAATGCTTGGCACATAGTAAGCACTTTATAAATGTTAGCTATAATTATTATCCTCATATTACAGATAAGGAAAATTAGTCTGAAAGTTAAATGGCTTGCCCAGGGTGGCCCGCTAATATGTATCTGAAGCAGGATTTGAACTCAGGTCTTCCTGACTCCAGGTCCCACACTCTACTTACTATGCCACCTCACACCTCTCTAGAGAGGAGGAAGTCAATACCTCAAGACAGGGATATGCCTTGCCTAAGGTCCCCCTGCTAGTTACTGCCAAAGCCCCATGGAAAACTCAGGTTCCCCCGTCCCTGGTCCCATCCTCCTTCTATTCTCTATGGGCGGAATCTCTACCATGGGAATTCTCCTACAGGTGCAGGTTGACCTTCCCATTGAGGTCTCTGAAATTTTGGGCTTCTAGGATTCCTGGCTGCTCGCCTGCGGGGCCCTCTGGGCACATGTGTCCCTGGCTGAGTCCTGCAGAATGCAGGCCCTGTCAGCATCTTCCCTGCCCCGAGCACAACTGGTGGGACTGAGTAACCTTGAAAGCCTTTGGGTCTCACATGTCACCCAGTGATATGAGCTGTTATTCCAGAACAAGAGTCAACAGAATAGAATGGAGATGGGGGGGGGAAGCTTAGGTGGGGCCTCTCTTACCTATTACTGCCAAAAGTGGTCATGAGGTTATTTTTAACCCTGGGCGGGAAGTATTTATTGTTTCAAGGCTGGATAGGGAGGGAGGGGCAGTATCAGGAATCCCACTTGTCAGACAGAAAGAGAACTTCTTGGCCACCTCCACCATGGTGAGTGGGGACTGGGTCTGACTGTGAGGGTCAAGGGGGGTGGTCCTAAAATGGGCCCCTTCCTCAAATGAGAGTCTCTCTGGCTGTCTGGGGCAAGGAAACAGGATGGCAGATTTAGAGCTAGGAGGGACCCTGATGTTAATTCATCTGGTCCCCATTCCCTCATTTTACAGATGAGGACACTGAGATTCAGAGAGATGAACTGACTTGAGATCTTGGGATCATATATTCGGAGCAGGAAAGAACCTCAGAGGACACCTGGTCCAACTCTCTCATTTCATAGATGAGGAAACTGAGGAAATACAGGACAGGGTATATTAACCTGGGCTCCATAAGCTTGCTTTCTTTTACTATTTTGGCAATGTTTTTTGACATAACTGGTTTCCTTCATAACCCTATGTGCTTCATTGTATGTACTCTGAAAAGGGGTCCATAGACTTCCCTAGACCACCAAAGCAGCGTGGGACACAAAAATGGTTAAGAGCCCAATCTTGAAGCATAGATGTTGAGCTGGAAAGGGTCTCGGAAGACATCTAGTCCAACCTCTCCATTTCACAGATGGGAAAACCAAGGTCCAGAGAGGACATAGGATCATAGATCTAAGAGCCGGAAGGGACCTTGGAAGCCAACTGCTGCAGTCCCTTCATTTTACAGATGAGGAGACTGAGGCCCGAGAAAAGCAAAGGAGCTTGTTCAAAGTCACACAGGTTGGGATAGTCAGAGGTGGAATCTGAAACAAGTCCTCTCTACTATGCTAGCTCATCTCCCCCTCCCCCCACCCCAACCCCCACCACTCCCAGACCATTTTTTTTAAAGCTCAGAGTCCATCTAGTTCAACTCTGTCATTTTACAGATGAGAAAACTGAGGCTCAGAAAGGGGACTTGTCTGAAGGTCACATGGTTAGTAAGGAGCTGAGCTAGGATTGAGCGCCAAACCGGCATGCCTCCAAGCCCACGCTCTTTCCATTTGGACACAGTTTACAGTACTCAGGCTCCTCGAGGTTCGATTCATTGCTTCTCATGATGGAACCCCAGTCAATACACTGACGGGTCACAAATAATGCAGGCTCCCAGGGAACAGAAGAAGAAAAACCGTATGAGAAAGAGCTGGGTTTTTTTATGGGTTGTCGACTGACCTCTCTTGAAATCAATAACTCCTAAGGCTTGCAAAATGGGATTGAGTGCTTTTAAGGATCAAATTGTAATTCTTTTTTCTTGTTTGGGCACCTAGAGGAAAGAATATATATATTTATATATTTTTATATTATATAGATATACACACACACATGCATATATACGTATATACACACATATGCATATATTTATATATATATAAATTATATTTAGCAGAAATATATTACATATGTTTATACAAAATAAGATTTATATATAATTATATATGCATGTCTCTATGTATGTATTCATACATGTATATGTATGTATAATATTCATGTGTATATATACATATATGTATATATTCCTTTTGAAGGGTAAATTTTAAAAATCTTTCTCTTGGTCTTTTTTGTAAGCTTCTCCCAAAGTAGGCAGCACCAGAATAAACAAATTGTGTCCGGGAGTAGTTCTTTAGTGGAATGAATTTGGTGGTAGCAAATTGTGGAATCTACTCTAGGAAAAATTGACTGGACTTGGAACTGGAAAGGACCTTAGGGGTCATCTAGTCCTCCCCACCCTGCCTCCACCCCGGCATTTTACAAAGGAGGATACCGAGGCACAGAGAGTTGAAGAAGTTTGCTTGAGGTCACACAAGTTTTCAATGTCAGGGCTTGGATTGAAACCTGGGTCGTTATATTCTAAATCAAATCTCTCAGTACCAAAGAGGAAACTGAGGCTCAGAGAGGTAGCTTGCCCAAGGTCACACAGCTAGTCCATGTTGAAGGTAGGATTCAAAGCCAAGTCTTCCTGCCTCCATCCCAGACCTCTGTTGATATCACCAATCTGTCCATTTGCCTGAACTGAGGTTCCTTGACTATTTGGATCCAAGGAAGTGGATGAGGGACAGAGAGAGAGAGAGACAGAGACAGAGACAGAGAGAAAGAGAGAGAGAACTGTGATGTCCGCTCTGAAAACTCTTCTTTCATCTCACCATATTTTCCAATTTCATGGACCTGATTGTCTCCCAATCAATGCTCCTTTGATCGTCGACTGACCCATTTGTCAAATGGTTCAGCAGAAGCAGCTGCTGGCTCTCTCCCGGGCAAACTCCCAGCTAGGCTCATGTTTCTTCTTTACACACACACTGCCTCATTTGACCCTAACAAACTAAGGAGGCAGGCGATCATATTCACAACAGTAAGAGACAGGATTTGAATCCACGTCTCTCCAGCATTGCCTCTTCTCTGCTAGTGCTTACCACAACCCTCTACTCTTCATTCCTGGATCCCTTCCCTGGCTCTTTCCTTCCACCCCATGACTCTCAACCTTGGATTCTTCTTATCTGTAGCAGGCATAGCCTGCCCTCTCTCCCACCCCACAGACATTAGAATGTTAACTCTAGGGCAATTTGAAGTTTTGTTCCTGTATCCTATGTGTCCAACACAGTTCTTCACACCCAGTAGGCTCTTAATAAATCTTTTTGCTATTAAATTGAATCATGCAGAGGCAACAGCAAAATGAGTTAATTCTGCTTAAGGCCTAAGGGAACAGCTAACCACCTGGAGAGGATTTAAGGTTAAAGACCTAGCCAATCAGTCAGTCAGGCAGTCAATCAACAACATTTATTAAGCTCTTCCTATATGCCAGGCACTGGTCATTGAGGAGAAGCTATGAGATTGTGCAGTTCTTTAATTGTTGTTCAGTTGTTGCAATTGTGACCCCTTTTGGGGTTTTCTTGGCAAAGATACTGGAGTGGTTTTGCTATTTCTTCCTCCAGCTCATTTTACAAATGAGGAAATTGAGGCAGGCAGGGTTAAGTGGCTTGTGCAGGGCCTCACAGGAAGTAAAGGTCTGAGGCTGGATTTGAACTCAGGTCCTCCTGACTCCAGGCCTGGTGCTCTATCCACCGTATCACCTTGCTGTCCTAGTTCTGTTAGTTCTGTAATTTCTACTCATCATTTCTTAGAGTTGTATGGCATATTAACTTTAACAAAGCTCTATCACATCTATGATTTCATTCTGTCTTCACAACATTCATCTCTGCTCTCTACTCATTGAGTGACCTTGGACTTCACCTCTCTGGGTCTCATAAAATGAGAAGGCTGGACTAGAGACTTGGTAAGGCTCCTTCCAGTCACAAATCCAGTCATAAAATCAGGAAATATTCCTGATTTTCAAATGAGAGATTCAAGTAGAGAAAGGGTCAGGCCTCACCCAAGGTGACTCGTTCCCAGAGCCGGAAGGAGACCTCATTCTCCTGGATTCTAGCCCCCTGCTTTTTTCTAATCATGACCATCCTTTCCCTAGGCACCCAAGAGAGCAAAGAAGAGAGCAGAGGGCGCTAACTCCAATGTCTTCTCCATGTTTGAGCAGACCCAAATCCAGGAATTCAAGGAGGTAAGTTCCCTTTCTTAAAATGAATGGTCTACGTGAAAATTCTAAGTCTTTCCACGGGGCTATTTCTTCTCCATAATGCCTAGAAGTATTGGTGAACGTTCTGGTTACGTGAATGTCGAGCCCTTTACCAGCTGACTCCAATCCATCTTTCCCTACTGATGACACATTACTCCTTCTCATCGATATTTCCTGTAAGTGACGTTGCACCCCCCTCGTCTCCCACCTCCGTACTTTGGCACAAGCTTGGAAAGTCCCCCCCATCATTTCTGTCTCTTAGAACCCTTCAAGGCTCCCTCAGTTGTTAGCAATTCTCCCTCCTTCTAAAAAGAAAAATATTTTGTATTCATTCGTATTTTGTATTGATCTGTTTATATGCTGTTTCTTTTCAATTGACCCTCCAGTAGAATATAAAATCTTCAAAGGCAGAAACTATTTCTGGCTCTGAATCCCCAGCCCCATCGTGGTTGTAGGAAATTCCCATTGGGGAAAACCCTTCTATCAATATGGTCAACATCTACTCTTACCTTTGGTACCAAGAAGCTGAATTCCTTGCTTTGTGTCCTGGAGCCAGTATGGTGGGCCTTAAACCCAGGCCTTCCTGATTCCAAGGTCAGGCCCCTAATCATTATGCCGCACAAGAAAAAAAAAATCAGCAAAACAAGCTAACATTGGGAATCTTAATTTAATTTTAATGTTAAAGTTTAATATTACATGCCACGTTCCATACTCATAGGGGTAAGCACGTCTCATCTCTTCCTTTGGAGTCAAGCTCGATCTTTATAATTCAGTTTCAATTGTGTTATTCTCCTTCACATTCATGTTGTTGGGGTCATGGTGCATGGCTCTGTTTACTTCACTTTGCATCAGTCCATATGCATCTTCCCATGCTTCTCTGAACTCATCACATTTGTCATCCCTTTCCACTCATTACTATCTGATTACATTCATGTACTGCAATTTGGTTAGCCATTCCCCAATCGATGGACATCTACTTTGTTTCCACTTCTTTGCCACCAAAAAAAAATGCTACTATAAATATTTTGGTGTAAATGAAACCATTTTTTTAATCATTGACTTCCTTATTGCCCGGCCATCTTAAACTCCATCCTTGTCAAAGGCAGGGACTCTCGGGGAAGCATGTCCTGGCTCAACTCCAGAAAGAACACTACCTCCTACACATACTTCCTCCTCACTCTGCCTCAAGCTCTAGAATGGGGAATCAACTCTTCAGGATGCTGTGGGACGGTATTGGCAAAAGAAACAACATATTTGGGAAAGGAGGTTCACAAAGAAAGACTAAAAATAGCACAGATCCCTCTGTTCCTCTCTTGATACACCCATTGGTTCTTGATGCATTTAATTACACTAAATCTTTCCCAGCTTCTCTTAGGCTTCTGATTGACCACCTCTGCTCTCTACTCTGCTTCTATAGGCATTTACCATCATGGACCAGAACCGAGATGGATTCATTGACAAAGCAGATCTAAGGGATACATTTGCTGCCCTGGGTAGGTCTTGAGTTGAGTCTTATTTCTACTTTCTCTGGGTGGGTGAGTGCCAGGCATGATGTGGGGGTGATGTAGAAAAACTACTTTTACTTTAAAGTTTTATTGATGATGTTTGCTTTTACACCCTGGCATAGAACTGTCTCTTGTTGCAAAGAAAAATGATTAAGCAGAAGGAACTTTGGCTGACAGTATATGCAACATTCTACTGCGCTCATAACCCAGTCCTCACCCCCATCTATTGAGAGATGGAAAAAGTATTTTATTAAGGAGGGAGAGTGAGAACAGTAATAAAAGAGTAAAGCTTGTGTTTGTTTAGAATTTGATGATGCCGTAATAATAAAGCATTTAACATAGGCTATATATTAGGTCATAGAAGTGGTACCAAAAGGAACCCTTGAACCTGGTCTTTGCTAAGATGGGTTTTTTTGCCTTTTGTATGATATTCACATCTAGGTGGTTCCATAGTGAATAGAGCACTGGTCTTGGAATCAGGAAGACTCAACTTCATGAGTTCAAGTTTGGACTCAGATACTAGCTGTGGGACTCTGGGCAAATCACTTTACATTGTTTGCCTCAGTTTCCACCTATGTAAAATGAGCTGGAGAAGGAAATGGCTAACTATTACAGTATCTTTGCCAAGAAAACCCCAAATGGGATCACAAAGAGTCAGACGTGACTGGAAAATGACTGAACAACAAATGACAATCACTCTGTGACTTTATCTCCTCTGAACTCCAGTCTCACTAGTCTATAAATTGGGCATAATAATGTGACTAGATATAATTTAAAACTTTCTAATGGGTAGAACTGTCCCAAGGTGAAAGGGACTAACATTGGAAGTAAGGATCTTTCCATCACCAGAGGTCTTCCAGAAGAAGCTGGGGCACCCAATCATCGTAGACTTGGAGCTTAGAGGGACCTTACATCTGGTCTATGAGTTCTACCCCATTCCTTTCATAGATGAGGTAACTGGGGCCCAGAAAAGTAAAGTGATTGCCCCAAGGTCATCCAGGCATCAATTAGCAGGGCCAAGATTTGACCCCAGGGCCCTCTGACTCATTCATATCTTGAGCCCTTTCCACAGTGCTACACTGCCTGTCATTTTGGAGGGATATTGTAAGAGGGGCTTCCTGTTGAGGAAGGGGTTGAACCACATGGCCTCAGAGGTCCCTTATTAACCCCGAGAGTCTGTAAGTCTAGGTCTAGGGTATCTCTGTTCTGAATAAGACTTTATAACTCTTCCCTATAATGGTTTGATTTTCATTAAAATCTTAAGGAGCTCCAGAGTCTGAGAAGCACAGGATTCTAAAATGTTTAAACAAGGAGGGACTTTAGAACATAGAATATCCAGGCTGGGAGAGACCTTAGAACAGGGAATGTCAGGGTAGAGAGAGGTCTTAGAACAGGGAATGTCAGGGCTAAGAGAGGCCTTAGAACAGGAAATGTCAGGGTAAAGAGGGGTCTTAGAATAGGCAATGTCAGAACTGGGAAGGGTCTTAGAACAGGGAATGTCAGAACAAGAAGTCCTTGGAACATAGAACACCAGATCTGAGAGCGATCTTAGAACATAGGTTATCAGAGCTAGGAGGTCCTTAGACTGAATAATGCCAAAGCTGGGAAGGGACCCGAGAGTCTCAGGTACTTATCCCTCATTTGATGGAGAGGAAGCTGAGATCCGGAGTGGTAGAGGGGACTTGTCCGTGGTCATATACTCTTGACAGAGATAGATGTGAGAGCCAGGTTTGGTGACTCCTTGGTCCAGTCCTCTGGCCTCTGGGCTACTGCTTTCTCACACTCCTTTTTTTTTCCTTTTGAGGCACTTGGGGTTAAGTGACTTGCCCAGGGTCACACAGCTAGTAAGTGCTAAGTGTCTGAGGCCGGATTTGAACTCAGGTCCTCCTGCCTCCAGGGCCAGTGCTCTATCCACTGTGCCACTAGCTGCTCCTATCCTCACACTTCTTCCCCATTATGGATTCCACTGTTTGGTTTGCGTCCCAGGTCGTGTGAATGTGAAAAATGAAGAAATCGATGAAATGATAAAGGAAGCTCCAGGACCAATTAACTTCACCGTCTTCCTGACCATGTTTGGGGAAAAACTCAAGGGTGAGTAGCCAGAGCATCAGGACCAGATGGGCCTGCAGCATCAGAGGGCGTGCCTGAGAGAGGAGGCCATGCAGACCATGTGGGGATGGTGAGTGATTGCCTGGGGACTGGAAGGCTGGCAGTATGTGTGCCAATCAGAAGAGAGCTGTCAGGACATCGAGATATCACCAGAAAACTCTGATACCCTCAGCAAGAATTGATCTTCAGGCTTTACTTTATGTCCTCAGGCAGTTTTCCCTTTAAGATCAGTGGGTGAAGCATTCCCAGGAGAGGCTCTCCGGTACAAAGAATCTCCTTTGTTTCAAATCTTTGCATGAATTGGAAACTGGAGACTCTGGTGCCCAGGAAAAATACCATGAAACGGGCCCAGACTAAGTAAGTCAAAAGGTGCCTTGAAATCAGCTTTTGTTAAAAAAACAAATTCAGTTGGGGGTGAGGAAGAGACTTGGAGAGCTTTGGGACATGAGGAGTGATGAGATGGAGGTTGGAACACCAAATATCTCCAAGGAAGTCAGTACTAAGAATGCTGAAAGATAAGGCCAGGTCTGAAAAACTCACCTAGAGTATGGTAACTGGGAAGAGAGAGGAAGAGGGGAAAGGGGCAGAGGAAGTGTGTTTTTCCTATTTTAACTAATTATTCTTGCTAACTAGATGCTAAGCCTAGTGGTTTCCACCTGTTGGAGGAGTTACACATACTGCCAGAACCCTCTAATTTTCAACCCCTGTAAGCCCTGATCACCCCATCCTACATCGACTCTATCTTTGTAGACCGTCTTTCATATAAGGCAGCCCATGACCTCTGCACCCCTAACAACTCCTGCTCTTGGGGACATTGATATTGTTTCTCGGGGGTATCCACTGGCTTGTATATAATTCCCATTTATTCATGACCTGTGGGGGTCTCTGCCTTCCATTTTAGGTGCTGACCCAGAAGAAACTATTCTCAATGCATTCAAAGTGTTTGATCCGGAAGGCAAAGGGGTGCTGAGGTCTGACTAGTAAGTGGTGAATAAATTCTGATTTTTCCCAACTTAAAAAAAAAGTATTCCAATCTTAATAACCATCCACCAACACAATTATCTGAACACACCAACAAAAATCTTTTCAAAGCTTAAATATAAAACTGCAAACTTCTATTTTTTAATAGTTTGTTCAGAAAAAAAGTGTACATGATCAAAATCCATGCTTAAAGCTTTTCTTTGCTGACTCATCTTGGCATGAAGATGACCGTAGTTAGCAAAGATTTTGCTATCTGAGCTCAAGTTCAGTTATGTCCTACATACCTTGAAAGAATATAGGCCCAGGAAAGGATTATGGGTCTATTGTCCAAAGACCATTGTAACTAAATCTGGAGGATTTCATCACTAGTGTATTTATACACTATAATCTCAACTCAGTTATAGATGAATTGTATCAGAGAGAAGAGTGACGAATTTGGTATCACAGGACCTGAAATCCAAATTGCCAGGAGTAAGTTGGAGGATATGGATTTGATTAGATATTAAAATGGGGGTTTTTTGCCTGTCATATGACACTCCTTGTATGAATCTCAGTCTCCCTAGTTTATAAAATGGGCATAAGAATATGGATGTAGTGAAAAACTTGCTACTGAATAGAATTGTCCTAATGTGAAAGGGTGCATCCATCTCTAAGTCTGTCTATGGCTCATACCTTGTATGACCTTGGGAAAAATCTCTATCCTTCAATTTCCTCCTTTGTAATATGAGGGGTTCTGACTGATGAGCCCTAAAGTCTCCTTCTAAACTCTAAATATGTAATTCTATGAACCTTTGAAGAGGTCATTGAAAAGAAGGTCCACACTGACAAAAATCCTCAAGATCCTGAGCTACATAAACCAGAGATTAAAATTATCCTGTTTGTTTCCATGCCTACCTTCAGAACATTTTTTTCTTCTGAATGAGTGTGGGTGTTTCTGTACCATGTGAGTGTTGGCCAGCTGGTACTCCATTTTTTCTCCTCCCTCTCTCTAAATGATAGGGACAGTCTTGTATCCTTCCCAGGATTTGTCTATCTCCTCTGGGTGGAGTGGGGTGGGGAGTGAGATTTAGAGTATGATCTTTAGTCACCACCCTCTCTTCCTGTCTTTCTTGATGAAGATTTAATCTGTCATACCTTGTTACAATAATTAGTTCATTTTTTATTCTAGTGGCAATATAATGGCTGCTTAGATCACACAAGTTTGCTGTTTTATGGAGTTTATGATAGACAAAAAGTTAGTAGTATAATGATAATAGCTCAGAGCCCCCAGTTAGCAAAAATTCCTAACATCCAGGCCAAGGTTTGGTTCTCTACTCTAATTTCAATTTACATGTATCTCTAGCTAAACTGTAGCTAGGACAGCTAGATAATGCAGTAGATAGAGTACCAGGCCCAGAGTTAGGAAGACTCATCTGCCTGAGTTCAAATCTGGCCTCAGACACTTACAAACTGTGTAATCTTGTGCAGCTGACAACCCAGTTTGCCTCAGTTTCTTCATCTGTAAAATGAACTGGAGAAGGAAATGGCAAAACACTCTAGTATCTTTGGCAAGAAAACTCCAAGTGGGGTCATGAAGAATTAGAGATAACTGAAACAACTGAACAACAAAAACTCTAGCTAACCTCCTGGGTCTCTTTATGCTTAAAAGGAAAATTAGGATACAAGAAACATTTAGATAAAATAAATGAGCAGAATAGGTTACAGAGTATGTTATGGACGAGCATGAGGAGGGGAATTTGGAGGAAAAAATACATCTTTTTTTAACTTCCTTTAGTCCTTGAAGAGGTGAGTACAATTAGTAACTTCAGCCCAAATCTTCTGCTCTTAGATGTCTGGCAGGGGCTATCAGCCCTCCTTTTCACTTTCTCCTTTTCTTCCCTTCTTAGCACATTAAGTCTTAGACAGAGATGCAGCTGCTCAGTTTTTGAAATCTCCAGTCTTTCCCTTGTCTTGATTACTCTGCTTCTCTTTAAGAAATTTTAGGCATGATTCAAGTCCACATTCTGCCTCAAAAACTATGGTAGCCCTATCTAGTTCTCAGGGCTGAGAGGAGAAAGACTCTCAACTACAAATCCCAGGATGTCAGTTAGTTCTCAAACCTCTATTACGTGCATATTTTCCATGATCATGATGATGATGATGATGATGATGATACTGTTGTTTTGGTTTTTCCTTTATGCCTCATATGTCCCTCCCCCCCAACCCATGGTTCTTTGTAGTTTTCACATTCATTTGGTAAAATAACATTTCATTCCACTCATGGAGGCAGTTTGGCCTAGTGGATATGGAGGCCAGCCTCCGGGTCAGAAAGACCTAGGTTCGAATCTGGCTTCTGACATGTAATGGCCGAGTAACCTACGTCATTTAACCTTTCAGTATCATAGGCAATTCTCTAAGACTATAAATTATAGATGATTTCTTCATCTTCAATGGCAGAAGGAATTAAAAATCTATATTCTGCAAATTTTTCGGTCATTCCCCAACCCCCTTTGGTAAGTTCTTCCTTGCTAGCTTCTTGCCTCTGGAATCACAAGGTTGCTTTTCTGTCTTCACAGTATCCAGGAAATGCTCACCACCCAAGCAGAGAGGTTTTCTAAAGAGGAGGTAAGGATCTTTCCTTTGTGCTCAACCAACTCCCAGGTCCCTGGACTTGGCTCCCTCACTGGAGGGGACAAGATCCACCACTTCACCAGGCCCAACAGGCATCAACGTCAGCTGCTTGCAGGCAGATGCTGGATTTGTTTTTGGCATTATATCTCTGGTACCTAGCACTGAGCCTGGCATATGACAGGTGCTTTAATAAATGCTGATTAGATTTGAAATTAATAGTGGTGAGATCTTTGGAGTTGGAGTCCAGAAAACCTGGGTTCAAATCCCACTCTAGACACTTAACTAGCTGCGCCACCTTGAGCAAATCATATTACCTACCTCAGTTTCCTCATCCGTAAAATGGGGATAATAATAACTGTAGCACTCACTTCACAGCATTGTTGTGAGATAATATAAAGAGCTATATAAATTTTAATTATTATTATAATCAGAACCCTCCCTATAATGCAGGTGGCCCTCAGCTATTCACTCTGTCTTGCAGGGCTAGAAAAATAGATTTAGAACGTCCTTCTGAGACCTGCTGAAACTGTCACTTTCCTGTTGGACAGATGTTAGCATTGAAATGCTCAATGATCTTCCTTTTAAAAAAAAAATAGCACTCAGTCTCCCAGGATGGAGTCTAGAAAGTACCATACTTTACATATTGATTAGCCAGAATTCTGCTGTCCTTTTTTGCTAAGAACTCAAGCAATGATAAAGAACAGTCATGAGCTCCATTCTTCTCCTTGCTTGCTGTGACTGAATACAAACTACATTATCGTTTGTTACTTAATCCCCAATTTCTCAGACTTTCTGAAACAGGATTCCTTTTGATATCTATATGAAGTCCACAGACATTTTCCATGCCTCCTATAGTTCATAGTCATAGGCTTATAGGTTCAGAGCTAGAAGATAACTCAGGGAGTTATAGGTGGGGAAACTGAGGAAACACAGATAATAAGCAACAGATTTGAACACAGGTTCTTGGACTTTTGAGTCAGTGCTCTTTCCACCGGACCACACTGATTTTAATTCAATTCAACATAGGTTTATTAAGCATCTACTATGTCACAGGAACCATGGAGGGGCTGATACAGAGACAGGATGAAACATAGTCCTGCCATCAAGGAGATTACATTCTACTGGGGGATACACTATGAAAACAGATAAGAAATAAAGGATAATCTAAGGCAATGGATAACATCAGCACCTACAAAAATGTGATAAGATCAGGGGAAATTCCCCATAAACTATAGAAACTGAATTGAATTGGAGGGAAGAATTCTAAGAGGTGAGGGTAAAGGAGAAATGCATTCAAGGTGTGGGAGACGGTCCATGTGTTCAAGGAACAGCAAATAGGCTCGTTTGGTGGAAAATAAGCTTTGAGTAGAGAGATTGAGTCTAGTCTTCCATCCTCCTTGTGTCCCCCAGCTAGGTCTCCTCATGAGGTCTCCAGTTCCTGTCTCTTTCCTCCCTCTGTCCCTTATCAGACAGTTGCTAGATCTTTATGTTGGTCAGCAATGGGATTTCAAGGAACCATGGACAGAGTCTCAAGTTCAGTACTTACAATCTGTGAGTCAATTCTCAGTCTGGTATAGGATTATTGATAGCATACAAACTTTTTATGGACATACTTCACTCATATGAGAAGGGTCCTGTGATGTGCTAGCAAATGTTTAGCCATCAGCTCTCTGGGGAAAAAATATATGCACATACACTTCGAAGTTTAATATGCATTAGTTACATTTTGCCATCACTTTCTTAAGTCTAGACAATCAACAAACCAATAAACCAATCCCCAAGTTGTAGCATTTGCCAATTTCCAAGGTTTAAATGCTCAGACTGGAAATTTAGTAGTAGGCTCTCACAAGACCGGTAAGAGCTGGCTCCAGCTCCACCCTGTATGCACTTCCCTTAACTACCATCTTGAGGCCTCACTTTGACTTGACTTTGACTATGCATCTTAATGGCAGAGACTCAAACAGCTACTTCTTGGCAGACAACTGACCAGTTCTGAAGGACCTGTAGCTGTTAGGGGCTGTGCAGTTTTATTCTCTGATAGACCTAGGGAGCTCTCACCAGCGTCCTTCTCATTGAGTAAGCAGATCTCAGGTACCTTTGTGCACACTAATCAAGAGTAGGTCAGAGAACGCTAAACATAGAGGCAGGGACAATATTCATGATTCAATCAATCAACCATTCCTTTAGCATCTGGTATTATTCTAGGCTGAGGATACAAAGTCAAAAATTAAACCACCTCTGCCCTCAAGGAGTTTACATTCTATGAAGAGAAACGATAGACACACATATAACCGTGAAATATACATAAAAATACAAAGTACTTTTGGATTAGAAGTATGGATACAGTAGCAGGGGTAGGGGATCATGGAATGTTTCATGCAAGAGTATGCGTGTGATCTGAGCCTGGATGGAAGCTAGAAATTCTAATAGGTGGAGGCGAGCAAATTCTCCTAGTCTGTACAAAAGTTTGGAGACAGGAGATAGAGTGCTATGTATAAGCAACAACAAGTAGACTAATTCATCTGGAATGTAGAATGAGTGGAGGAGAGCAATGCCCAGTAATCCTGGAAAAGTAAGTTGGGGCCACATTAATAAGGGCTTTAAAAGTCAAAGAAAGTTGTACTTTATTCTGGAGGCAATGAGGATTAGGTTGCTTTTCCCATCTCTAGGGGGTCAGATCTAACTGGCCTGCCTCAGTCGTGACCCCCATCCCTTCAGAATATGCCCTCTCATCCTTGTGTTTTGATGTGTTTGGTTACAGGTTGACCAGATGTTTGCCGCCTTCCCTCCAGATGTGACTGGACACCTAGATTACAAGAATCTTGTGCATATCATCACACACGGGGAAGAAAAAGATTAGGGGTGGGGGGTTTTCTCCTGTTCCTTCATCCCTTCCATGTCTAGTGAGTGCCCCACCCACTCACTTGCCCTGGTCCTCAGTACGGCAGCCTGCCTCCCTAATCTTGCTTCCATTGATTAGCTGTGCTGGTGCCTTGCTCCCATCGGTTTTATGGCACCCCTCCCAGCCTCCTCCACCTGTACCCTCCCCCTCCATATCCCACCACCTTTGCTTTTGGATACTGACACTAGGTTTCCTTTTACAAAATGAGATATAAACATGTCTCAATAAATGGGAGGCATTTCTTTGACTGCCATGATGCCTTTCTGCTAGAGAGCATCTTCAATGCTTCTCTCAATAAGATATTGAAATGGGCTGGTTTTTTTTTTTTGTTTTATCATTCTTTCTATTTACATTACTGTTATCACTTTTTTCTGATCCTGCTTATTTTGCTCAGCATCATTTCACATGTCTTCCCATGATTCTCTCCATTCACTGCAGACACCATTTCTTTGAAAACAATATTTGGGGACCATCATTTCTTCAGCCATTCCCCAACTGATGGGCCCCTACATTGTCTCCAATTCTTTGAGATCATAGAAAGTGCTGCTCTGAGCACCTTAACAAACACAGGGCTTTCTGTTATTAACATCCTTGAAGGGGCAGCTAGGTGGCGCAGTGGATAGAGCACCAGCCCTGAAGTCAGGAGGACCTGAGTTCAAATCCAGCCTCAGACCAAACACTTGACACGTACTAGCTGTGTGACCTTGTGCAAGTCACTTAACCCTGATTGCCTCACTAAAAAAAAAAAAAAAGTCCTTGAGTCTATGAATGTGATGCCTTTTATTTTATTATTTCTTTTTGGCTAAGCAATGGGGTTAAGTGACTTGCCCAGGGTCACACAGCTAGTAAGTGTCAAGTGTCTGAGGCCAGATTTGAACTCAGGTCCTCCTCAATTCCAAGGCCGGAGCTCTATCCACTGTGCCACCTAGCTGCCCCAAGGGATGCCTTTTAAATGGGCTATCCCACAGTCACATTTGCTATTGTTCAGTCATTTCAGTCCTGTCTGACTCTTTGTGATCTCATTTGGGTGGGTTTTTTGGGCAAAGATACTGGAGAGGTTTGCCATTTCCTTCTCTGGCTCAGTTTACAGATGAGAAAACTGAGGCAAACAGGGTTAAATGACTTGCTCAGTGTAACAAAACTAGTAAGTGTCTGAGGCCAGATTTGAACTCAGGCCTTCCTGACTCCAGATCCAAAGCTTTATACAGTGCACCACCTAGCTGCCCCCCAGTCACATGGAGATGGCTTATTAATCCAAATTAATTTTATTGAAGGAATTTAGAGTTGGTATACAGAACAGAATTTGTAGACTCAGTTAGTAGCTACTAATGAGTGTCCCCAACTAGTTGGAAGATTAGCATAAACATGAAAACAATTGACATATAGCATTTTAAGGTTTACAAAGCATTTCACTTATGTTAATAAAATATTAGTTGGTGTATACATAGTATATTAAGGTTTGCAAAGGGTTTTACCTTATTATTATTATTATTATTATTATTATTATTAATAGCTCACATTTAGATAGTGACATAAGGTTGCAAAGCACTTTCCTTATATTATTAGCAATAAACTTTTAATAATTATTAATAATAATAGTGGCAAAGTGACTAGACAGCCAAGTTCATAGTCATGAAGACCAAGTACAAGTTCACTCTGACACATGATGGCTGGCAATTCTGGGAAGATAATTTAATTTCTCAGTGCCTCAGGCAATTCCCTAAGGTTATAAATTCCTGAGCAAGGGATGAGCTTCATGGTAGGAGGAGTTGAAATTGGAGGAGGAGGAGGAGAGAGAGAGGAAGAGGAGGAAAGAAAGGAAGAGGAGGAGAAGGAGGAGGAGGAGGAGGAGGTTTGCAAAGCGTTTTACATATATCATCTCATTTGATCTTAGTAATAATAATAGCAGCTAGCATTTATATAACACCTACTATGTGCCAGGCACTGTGCTAAGTGCTTTACACACATTATCTCATTTGATCTTCACAACAACCCTGGAGGTAGGTGCTATTATTATACCATTTTGCAGTTGAGGAAACTGAGGCAGAGAGTGTTGAAGTGACTTGCCCAGGGTCCCACAGCTAGGAAGTGTTTGAGGCAGGATTTGAACCCAGGCTTTCCTGGCCGTTAAGTCCAGAGTTCCGTACACTGCCCCAAGATGCAGCATGCTTCCCTAAACACAATGACCACCAGGAGTCAGCGCTGGAGCCTAAGCTGCTTACCTTGGGATTCTGTGAGCACTGAATTCCTTTGCTTTTCTTCAGTGTTTTCTTGTTCTCTGAATGTTTGAAGATATTGAGGTTTAAAGGAGAACAAGAGCTTTGTGCACAGCATGTAGAATCTTCCCCTCTGCCCTCATCTTTTATTTAAACCAGGGTCTGAGGAGGAATATGCACATCTCCTACTGCCAGAAGGCAAGGAATACATTCTCCCTGTATCCTTTCAGCCCCTGCCCACTGACTGCCAATCTCATCTCCCAGTTCATAGGATCCTGGCTCTAGAGCTGGAAGGGTCTCAGACACCATCTGGTCCAGCCCTCTCATTTTACAGATGGGGAAACTGAGGCTCAGAGAAAGGAAATGACTTGCTCAGGGTCACACAGTTTAAGTTGTAGAACTAGACTTACAAGCCCATGTCTCCTGACTTTCCAACACATTGTTCTCTCTCCTAAAGTTCACTCCTTTCTCCCCAAGATCACTAGAAATGCCCTCACAGTGTTTTCTCATCAGTAAAACAAGGGATTTAGACGAGGTGACCTTTGAGGGGGTATCTCTTCCAGCTCAGTCTACAACCCTTCGAGGCCGTCTCCTCCTATTAGAGGGTCTGTCACATGAGAGAGGGTTTAGATTTGCTTTTCTTGATCCCAAAGGGCATAACTAGGAGTGATCGGTAGAAATTGGAAAGAAATTGGAGCCTGTAAACTCTAGGTCAAGGAGACTTAACTCAATTTCTGGCAAAATTCTTGAATGCATTGTTAAGGCAAAAGATCGGGGGTATTTTGAAAGGGAAGCAGTGACCCCTGAGAGCCTGGATGTCTTCATTCAGATGGGTTCATGGCAGGATAACGTCATTGGACAGAGTATCGGGATAGTTAAAGAGCTGGGCCTGGAGTCAGGAAGACCTGGGTTCAATTGCCGGCGTGGACACAGATTTGCTCTGTGACCCTGGGCAAGTGACTTGCCATTTAAATGCCCCAAGTAGCTCTCTTGAGACAAAAAAAGAACAGATGGGTAGAGTGACTTGGGCATAATGATGAAATTCTAGGTCTAGTCCAAAATAGAGCTGGGCTGGCCGAGCAGAGTAGTATTATGGCTAAAGCTTACCTAGATTTCCAGAGTTCAAATCTGGCCCCAGATACTTACTGGCTGTGTGACCCTGGGCAAATCGCTTAATCCTGTTTGCCTCAGTTTTCTCATCTATAAAATGAGCTGGAAAAGGAAACGGCAAACCACTCCAGGATCTTTGCCAAGAAAACCCCAAATGGGGCCATGAAGGATAAGACAGGACTGAATTAACAGAGCAACAGCACCAACAACCTGGATTTCAGTAAAGAATCTGACAGAGTATCTTATGCTGTCCTTGTCAACAAGACAGAAAGGTGAGGACTGCGTGACAGGTGGATTGACTGTCATCTGTTAGGTTACTGGACCCAAAGAACAGGCATCAGTGGGTCAACATCAGCTAGAGGTAACATAGTAGGGAAAAGCACTGGGCTTGAAGTCAGGCAAAACCTGACTGCTTAACCCACCTTGCTGTGTGACCACGGGCAAATCACCTAAAGTCTCTGAGCCTGTAGGGGTGACCTCTGAGGATGATGATACCTACAGTACCTCCTTTCTAGACTCATTGTGATGGCCAACTGGGATGACAGAAAGTGTTCCACAAATCTTGGAGTATTGAATGTAGCTGGCATCATTGTTATGACGTGGAAGATCTCTCGTGGCTGGCCCCAGGGATCTGGACTGAATTCTTTTCTTGAAGACTTGGACAAAAGTAGAGAGCACATCTATCAGATTTGCAGGTGACAAGAATTTGGGAAGGAAAATCAACGTATTAGGGGACAGTCAGGATGCTAAAATATCTCAACAGAAGCTAGGTGGAACACTTGCTAAGCCTGAAGTCAGGAAAACCTGAATTCAAATCCACCCTCCAACAATTCCTAGCTGTGGGACCCTGGGCAAGTCACCTAAACTCTCTCTACCTCATTTTCCTCATCTGTAAAATGGGGATAATAATAAAACTTACCTCTCAGGATTGTTGTGAGGGTAAGATGAGATAATATTTGTAAAGCACTTAGCACAGTACCTGGAACATAGCAGGTGCTATATAAATGCTTGTTTCCTTCCCCTATTGGGCAATTATAATCATAATAGAAATTTGAATAGCACTTTACAGTTTACAATGAGAGAACAACTATTAGTCCCAAAGCTGCATATAAATTCTAAGTCACATCCTAAGAATTTCATAGGTCTTCAATTGGCTCACTACTCTGTTTCTCCATCTCTCTCTGCCTGTGTCTCTCTCTATCCCTTTGTCAGTCTCTGTCTCTACTTGTCTCTGTCTCTCCTGCTTTCTCTGCCCTCTCTTCTCTTCTCTTTTCTTCTCTCCCTCTCCCCTTCTCCCCTTTCACTCTTTATCTGTCTCTTCTCTGTCTCTGTCTCTCTGTGTCTCTGTCTCTCTGTGTCTGTGTCTGTGTCTCTCTCTCCAATAACCTGTCAATCTTCCTGGCACCAGTAACACACTACCCACCAGTTTTTCAGGTGAGGATGAAGAATATCTATATTATCTTCCAATCTTTCATTACCATCTCCCCAGTACAAGATGAGGACAAGAACCTTGTCTTTTCTGGAAGCCATTGCTTTCTCTTCCCAGGTCTTTTTTTTATCACAAGGACAAGTTGGGTGAGACATAGCTTGGTAGCTGTTCATCTGAAATAAGTTCTGGGATTTTTCAGTGGGCCACAAGTTCAACGTAAAAGCAAATGCCTTATTAAGAGAAGTTGAGTATCCAGTACCAGAGAGGAAATAGCCCTGGTAGGACCACATCTGGGGTAGGGAGTTCAGTTCTGGGCACATTTTAGGAAGGACATTAAACAAGCTGGGAAACACCCAGGAAGGAGTCCAGGATGGTAAAGGGCCTCCAGTTCATATCAAATGAGGAATAACTGAAGAAATCAATGTTAAGCTTGGGAAAAAAAAGACTTAGGGGAGAATATGATGGTTGTCTTCACTCTTTGAAGGGCTGTGGAGTAGAGGAGGGATGAGAATTGTTCTTCCTGCCCCCAGAGGCCAAAAGAAGAAGCAATGGCTGAAATGTCCGAGGGGCAGATTTAGGACTGATACAAGGGAAAAGCTTGAAACAATTAAGGCTATCCAGAAGTAGAACAGAGTGCTTGCACTGGGCTGGTCTCTCCCACATTGGAAGTCTTCAGGCAAAGGCTGGATGACAACTTGTCCGGGATCTAGCAGAAAGGATTCTTCTTCAGGTCTGGCTTGGACTGGATGGCCACTGAGGTCCGTTCTTCTTCTGAGAGTGTATGACTCTGTGAGCACACCCCATGTTATTCAGTCTTTCCTAGGCACCAGCCCCATTCATCACCAGCCACGTCCCTTGTGAGGGACACTATGTTCCCCATTCACCTAGATCAGAGGCAGGCAAACAGTTTCTATAAAGGGTCACATAATAAATATTTTAGGCATTGAGCTAAGAGGTAAAATCAAGGATGTCATATGAGGTCTTACATAACAAAAGAGAAAAAATTTCTACCATCTGTAATTGATGAAATTCAAAGTACAATAATAATAATAACTGAGTACAATTGTTTTTGTAATATAGATTTATTAATGAGAACAATGGAATTCTTTTTAGGGGACAATACTTCACTTAGAGTTCAGTTAGTGTTTCTTATCATCAAAATTGATTACAAATGTTTATCTGTTAATGCTGATCAGTAATGAGATTTTATGTCTTTTCATACAGATAGGTACTGCTAAATGTTTATGTCAATCAACAAACATGATTTTAGTTGACCATATTCATCACTTGAAATACATATAAAACTTTATAAAATTCCGTGAGATTCTTCTCTTGATATTTGCCTTTCAACATGTCATTACATTGCCAATGAATCCATGTCATTACATTGCCAATGAATCCATGTCATTACAATGCCAATAATCCAATTGAAAGTTAGGTGGAGGGGTAGCTAGGTGGCACAGTGGATAAAGCTCTGGTCTTGGAGTCAGGAGGACCAGAGTTCAAAGCCAGTCTCAGACTTTTGACACTTATTAGCTGTGTGACCCTGGGCGAGTCATTTAACCATGATTGCCTCACCAAAAAGAAGAAAGAAAGTTAGGTAGAAGCTTCTAAACTAAAAGTATTTTAAAATATGGAGATTTCTTTTGTGTGTGCATCCAGGTCTGAAAAATGTGGCTGGAACTGTAATTTGAGCTCAGAAAGTAGATTCACTACAAATTTGTGTGAGAATGGAAATCTCATTTCTTGTTTTAATTTTTGATAACACTGAAAATAGATAAACCAGCTTACCATTACTTGTGAGTTAAGCAACCTTAGTTATCACCAAATTGACTTTACTGCAGTATAAGTTTTATATGTTAAGCACCACTTTACCTTGTGATTTTAGGTTGAATTCATTAAGAAACATTTGAAGTCTGCAGCAAAAGCTAATTTCTAAAGCCATTCAGTGTTTGATAATAGAATGGTCAAGGAAGGTTCTTCTCATTCAGCAAAATTTCAAACTCAGCCCTGAGCTCAAAAAATTCACAATTATACTCTTTTCTTGCTTTGACTTGATGGGTATACGCTGGTAATTAAAAGCATGTCACAGTACAGCAATACATGTGGCACTCAAAGAACTGTTGAGTTATAACTGTAGCACTATGGTTGGTAGTGTGCCCAGCAACAGGGCAAAGTGATGAGAGTGTCACATAACTACAATGAGAGTACCACATATGGTCTCCATCATGACTGCTCAACTCTGCCATTTTAGTGTGAAAGCAGCCGTAACCAATACAGAAATGAATGAGCATGGCTATGTTTCAATAAAACTTTATTTATGGACACTGAAATTTGAACTTTATATAATTTTCATGTGTTGTGAAATATTATTCTTCTTTTGATTTTTTTGTCTACTATCTAAAAATTAAGTACTATTCTTAGATTTCTGCTTGTACAAAAACCAGAGGTGGGGCAGATTTGGGTCAAAAGCCATAATTTGCCAACCCCTCATCTAGATGGAAAAGTTTGGCTGTTCACTTTCATGACCCCATTTGGGGTTTTCTTGGCAGATACTAGAGTGCTTTGCCATTTCCTTCCCCAGTTCATGAGGAGGAAACATACAGGCATACAGGGTGAAGTGACTTGCTCAGGGTCACACAGCTAGTGTCTGAGACTATATTTGAACTCATTAAGTTGAGTCTTCCTGCAATCCACTATGCTATGTAGCTATCTTCAGACTGTATATGGCTTTTTTGAATTTAATTTTTATTTTATTTTTTCTCAACTACATGTAAGCAAAATTTTTTAACACTTTTTTTTTAAATTTTGAGTTCTCAATTCTCTCCCCACCTCCCCTGAGAAGACAAACAATTTAATATAGATTATACCTGGGAGGTCATGTAAAACACATTTCCATATTAGCCATGTTGCAAATTTAAAAAAAAAACCCAAAACACAGACCAAAAAACCAAGAATAGTAAAGAAAGTTTTTTTTTAAAAAGTATACTTCAGTTTGCATTCGTATACCATCATTTCTTTGGAGGTGAATAGTAGAACTGTCTTAGATCATTGTATTGCTGAGAAAAGCTAAGACATTCACAGTGATCATCAAACAATATTGCTGTTACTGTGTACAATGTTCTCCTGGTTCTGCTCATTTCATTTTGCATCAGTTCATGGAAGTCTTTCCAGGTTTTTCTGAAAGCATCCTGCTTGTCATTTCTTATAGTATAACAGTATTCCATCACAATCATATACCACAACTTCTTCAGCCATTCTGCAATTGATCGATATCCCCTCCAATTTCCAGTTCTTTGCCACCACAAAAAAAGTTGCGATAAATATTTTTGTACATATAGGCCCTTTTCTTTTTTTCATTTTATCTCTTTGGGATACGGACCTACTGGTGGTATTGATTGGTCAAAGGGTTTCCACAGTTTGATAGCACTTTGGGCATAGTTCCAAATTGTTCTCCAGAAAGGATGGATCAGTTCACAACTCCACCAATAGTGCATTAGTATCCCTATTTTTCCACATCCCCTCCATATATGGCCTTTGAGTAGGACAGATGTGACTTTTCACAGAATCTCTGAGTTGAAAGGGACCTCAGAGGCCAATGAGGCCATCCTGAGTGAGAACTCCCTCTGCTATATCCCTGACAAGTGACCACCCACTCTCTGCTGGAAAACCGCTCACTTGCAAAAGCTACTCACTTTGCAAAACCAAGTCATTCTGGGCCTCATTTTCCCAATCTGCAAAATGAAAGGGCTAGTCTAGATAATCTCTAGGGGTCTACCCAACTATATAGAACCTGTGAGAAAACGAGGGAGCTGACCTCAAAATCCCAGAATTTCGGAGTGGGAAGAGACCCCAAAGATGTCTAGTCTAACCCACAGCTGAATTAGAATCTTCCCTACAGTATGAATGAATGGACAGATGAATGAATGAACAGTTAACAAATGAATGAACAAATGAACAAATGAATGAAAACTCATTTAGTCAGGGCTTACTATGTATCCAGTAAGTGAATGAAGGAATAAATGAAAAATTATTTATTTAGGGTTTACTATGTAAATAAATGAATGAATTTTTATGAATGAACAAATTTAGGGTTTACTATGTAAGTGAATGAATGAATGAATAAAATCATTTATTCAGGACTTAATGTAGTAAGTAACTACATGCTAATACACTGTGCTAATATCCCTAACAAATGCTCATCCAGTCTTTCAAAGTTGGAAAACAACAAAAGAGAAGTAACTCACTGCCTCCTGAGACAGCTCAGTCCACTTTGGGAGAGCTCTCCTTGGTGGGAGATTTTTCCTGTCATCGAGATGAGATTTTCCTTTTTGCACTTGACTTTTGCTAACCCAAGTGTTTCTGGGGGAGGTCTATAAATGGAAGCACCAGCAGACTTACAGAGCAAAATGTTTATTCTACATAGCTATGGTACACACATGACCCAGCACCGCACCAACCAGTCTATGCTGTCAATGGCTTCCTCTTCCCTTTGAGGTCATCTATCTTTTCAGGTACATTATCCGATATATCCCTGGAATTGAGATTTTCTGCCACCAGACCACGGAGATCACTGTGGTCTAGAGGCTGGTCAGCTGTTTCAAAGAAAGTGAAAATTAGTCATGGCACCCAATAATGCTCTTTCGCCTAAGAAAGGGCTTTTCTTTTCTAATCACCTCTTGCCAATGAACAAGATCCCCAGATCTGGATGTCCCAAAGTATCTTCAAATTTCAATTTAATTTGGCAAGCACTTAGGAGGGCAGCTGGTAGCATTGTGGATAGAGTACTGGGCTTGGAATCAGGAACACCTGAGTTCAAATCTTCCCTCAGACGCTTACTATGTTTGGGCAAGTTAATTAACCTCTATTTGCCTCGGTTTCCTCAACTGTAGAATGGGGATAATAATATCTCCCAGCTTGTTGCAAGGATTAAATAAAATAATATTTGTAAAACCCCTGACACACAACAGGTGCTGTATAAATACTAATTCTCTTCCTCTCCCTTCCCCCTAGAGAGCTGGACCTGGAGTTAGAAAGACCTAAGTTCAGATCCAGCCTCAGACATTAGTCATGTGACCCTAGTCAAATAATTTAACTCCTCAATTTCCTCATCTATAAAATGGGGATAGCACCTACCCTCTTAAGGCTGTTATAAGGATAAAATATTTATAAAGTGATTTGTAGAACTTAAATGTTTGTTGTTGTTATTGTGTGCTAGACACTATGCTGCGGGCTGGGAATAAAAAAGACAAAATGAAAAGCAGCACCTTCCCTCCAGGGTCTTACATTCTATTGAGATTTTCATTCATCTAAATTTAAAATGAGAGACAGATGGGCAAAGCAGCAGAAAGGCTAGCCTTGTGTCAGGAGGTTCTGGATTCAAAACCCACTTCAGACATATACTGGTTTGATGACCCAAAGCATCATGGACGTTCCCTGTCTGTATGGGCATAGGAAATTTTCTCCACCAATAAAATCACACTATTGTCAAAAACAAAACAATTCCAAGATTTGAAAACAATTTCTAAATGCACGTGCCACAAAATTTACCAGGATAAGATTGGATGAGAGCAGGCAAGAAAACTGGAATTGAAATTCAGACTGATAATGAAAAAGAATATGGACAAATTACACATACACAGATTCACATTCACACACACACACACTCTCACATTCATGCACACCTCACACTCAAATTCACATACTTGCACATATACCCTCACACATTTGCACTCACATCTCCCACACACTCATATTCACACAATACACACTTCACACACTTATACACACATCCTGACACACTCACACTCACACCTCACATACATTCACACTCACATACTCACATTCACACACATTTCACAAAAACACACTCACATTCACATACATATTTATACACACAATCACACTCAAATCTCACATATACACATTCACACACATATATATCCAGTCACATCTCAGACACTCACATACACATGCACACATTCACACTCACTCACATCTCACACTCATATACCCACATACACTCACATTCACACCCACACATACACACTCACACTCATATACTCATATACACATGCACACATTCACACTCACTCATATCTCACACTCATATGCCCACATACACTCACATTCACACCCATACATACACACTCACACTCATATACTTACATACACATGCACACATTCACACTCACTCACATCTCACACTCATACCCACATACACACACATTCACACTCGCATCTCACATACACTATGAAGTCTGATTGAATAAGATCCAACTGCCCTGGAATTTCTTGCTTGAAATGACCATCAACATTTCAAGTAGGTTTGCATTTCAATGCCTTGGGCTAGTGCAACCGGTCCACACTACTGCTCTGCATTTTCACATGGAGATCACTGGCTCATCTCTCTAGAGCTAAAAGGAGACTTAGAAGCCATCAAGTACAACTGCCTCATTTTACAGATGAGGAAACTGAGGCCTGGGAGGTTAGTCTCCCTGCCCAAGACCACCAGGCAGTCAGTGAGCAGGGATCTGAACTCACGCTGTTACACCAAACCTATTATATCTCTTTGTGTTGGATAGGAAGTCCCTTCAAGCACTTATCTGACCAGTCCTATTGTAAGCCATTGGTGGGACTGAGTGTTAAGGGATCTTAGATTTAGAGAAAGAAAGGACCTCAGAGGCTATCTGGTTCAGCCCTTCATTTGGCCACTGAGGAGACAGAGGCACACAGAGGTTAAGTGACTTGCCCAGGGTCACACATCTGGTCAATGTCTGAGGCAGTGTGAGAAGTGCTGAATTATTAGGTTCCCACATAAGTTGCCAAAAAACAGGAAAGGTGCTGAATGGCTAACTAATTAAGGGGAGAGTGATATTCTTTGGGCCGGTTAAGCTAGATTCACAGCAGAATTCCTGTCTTTACAGCCCAAGACCCGAACCAGTCCAAGTTGGTTGGGGGTCAATGTCCCAGCACAAGAATCTGTTACTACTTAGGCTCAGTGAACCTCATGTATATGCTAACTAAAGGATCAGGATTTCTACCAATTGTAATTCGGATTGAGGTTTCTCTAATTAGATATGGAATTGTGAACCTAATCAATTGTGAAATTTTTGATTGTAACTCGGACTGTAACTCTGAGTCTTGGAGGGAGGACTAAGGGGGAAACCAGATGAACAGTATCTTCCTTCTTGGGAGGGAGTGCACCTGATTCTCCCGAGAATTGAATGAAGGCATTTCTTCCTTCACTCTAAAAGAGCCGTAGCCTGCATCTCTAAAATAGCTGTAGCCTGTTATTTCGACTCTGCTGGCTTGCAACTGGGGAAGCAGTGGGTAGCGGCAGTTTGTCACGGGCTAATTCCCCAATCCTGCCAGTCCTGGAGGTCGTTGATGACAGGCAGGATTCTTGAAGTGTGTTCATATTGTAAAAATTCTTTTCCCCACTATTCTTCCCAAGTTGTGTTCTGATTGTCGGTGTGAACACAACATCAAGAGCAGAGGACGAAACTCAGAGGGGCCGCTAACCTTTGGTTTTGCTTTTGCTGATTTGTTAAAAATCCTATGTGCAGGACACATGCGTTTACATTTCTGTCCTAGAACTTCTGTGCTTCTTAAGGGGCTTATTTACCAGAAGGGAAACGGGGGCATGGGAAAAGACTGTGTGTGTGTGTCTCTCATTTTAGAGATGGGAAAACTGAGGCCAAGGGAACAGAAGTGACTTGCCCAAGGTTATATAAATAGTAACAAAGGGAGTATTTGAACCCAGCCCCATCTGACTCTAAAGCCAATACTGTTTTTTATGTGTCCTGCTGCCTCTGTTTCCTCTTTGAAACTCACCCAGTATAGCTCTGGACTTGTAACCCTGAATAAGTAAATGTTTGCTGAATTGAGTTGAACTGAATTGAATTAAACTGAAATGACCAAAAAAAATTTGCCTGGGGGATAAGATAAAGTTGCCACATCAGCAGAGGACCAAGCAATAGTGTTTCCACTGGGAAAAACATTTTGTTTCTTCCCTACCATAATGGCCAAATACCTCCTCCCCTGGTATTGAACCTAGAAATGAGTCTCCATGCTTAAGCAGGCTGAGCCTTCCCACCCCCAGCTCCCAGGGCCCAATGACCCTGACTTTTTTTGAAACACAGACCATCACGGGATGAGGTGGAGGTCAAGGGGAGTGCAACTTACATTCCTCTACTTTTTCACTCATAGTATCGCCAGTGATGGCCGGAGCAAAGACCTTGAGGGGTTCTGGTAACTTCAGGAGTGATGACCCACCCCAGAAAGGGTTTATCAAAGAGCTGACACCTTCCACTTCACCTTCTCCTTCCAAAAAGCGAATGTAGGATTCCAATAACAGGAGCTCATTTGTTTTCTGCTCGATGATTGCTAAGGAGGGGCAAAGCAACAGACTCTAAGATGCTTCAACAAGACACCGAATTCTGGGAAATTTGGACAAGCTGTCTGAGATGGAGGGATCATAGATCTGGAATTGGAAGGGACCTCAGAGGACATTTGATCCATACACCCCCTTTCATTTCACAGAATCTGAGGATGAATTACAGATATGTTTTGTACGACTACATATGTATAACCTCTATCAAATTGCTTGCCTTCTCAATGGGGGTGGGGTGTGAGGAGGGAGGAAGGGAGAGAATTTGGAGCTCAAAGTTGTAAAAAGGAAAGTTAAAATTGTTTTTACGTGTAATTGGGGGAAAATAAAATACTAAATTAAAAAAAAGAAACTGAGGATGAAATAATTTGCCCACAGTCACACAGCTAGAAAATGCCAGAGATGGGATTTGAACCCAGGTCTTTCTTACTCCATTGGGCCAGCAGAACTATTGAATACCATAATTAAAAAAAAAAATTTCAGGGAGGCAGCTAGGTGGTGCAGTGGAGACAGCACCAGCCCTAGAGTCAGGCGGACCTGAGTTCAAATCCAGTTTCATACCAGACACTTGACACTTACTAGCTGTGTGACCCTGGGCAAGTCACTTAACCCCAACTGCTTCGCCAAAAAAAAAAAAAAAGTCAGAATACATGCTTTGCTTGGATCTGGGTTCTTTTCTTTTTCATATTTGAACTCAGGTCCTCTTGACTCCAGGGCTATACTCTATTCATTGTACCACCTAGCTGCCCCAAATGTTAACTAATATTGTGTGAAAACAAAAGAGTATCAATAAAAATAAGATAAAAAAGGCAAGTAGAGCCTCAGATCTCCACCTACCAAAGTACTGTGTCAAATTGATGTTGGTGATAGACCCTGTCTCCCCCAAGTGTTCCAAAATCTTGGTAGCATCACAACTGATCTTCTTAAATAGAAACTCCACAAAGGATTTGAGCTGGTCAAGGGTCTTATTGATCTCTTTGTTGGTGTTCTCAATTTGATTGGCATCTTCTGTGGTTTTTTTCAGTTTTTCCTGCCGGGGCCCAATAATTCCAAATGAGAACTCTCTTCCCTCCACTCTTGGGTCTTAGCTCCCTGAGAGCAGAGGAGGAAAGCTATGCTGTAGAATCCCTTTCCAGCAAGCCGTGGTCTGATAGGGGGCCTCAGGACAAGGAGGCAATCAATTACTGTTGATTGGAAAGGGCTCCTTCATCAGCCAGAAGCTGCTGTATCCTTTGGGGACTATAACTGGCCATTGCTGCCCCTGGGCCAACACAAACATGCCCCAAGGCAAGAAATGAGCCTTGACATCAGCTTTGCATCCTGGGATGCCAGAAGGCTGCTGCTGGGAAGAAACTTAGCCACCCCACCCTAGTTGTAGCTCTGATGTCCCCTTAAAGGGGTCAACCTAATAGATAAGGGTCAATCATTGAAACACCCAATATAGATCTAGACCTAGAAAGGATTTTGGAGGTCATTTAATTCAACTTCTACATTTTGACAAACCAGGAAACCTGAGGCCCCGAAGCTCAGTCAGCAGACGCTGAAAGACTGTGTCACCCCACCCCTGTGCTGCCATCCATCTTGACTCAGTTTCCTCATCTGTAAAATGGGAATACTATCTCACCAGGTGATTGAGGGACAACATATGACTATCACTCCAGACCTCTCGATATCATAGGATAGTCGGTCAGTTAATAAACATTTATTAAGCGCCTACTACGTGGCAGTCATTGTGCTAAGCACTGGAGATGCAAAGAAAGGCAAAAGATAATTTATGCCTTCAAGGAAATCAAAGTCTAAATGGAGGAGACAACAAGCAAAACAGATATGCAAAAATAAGCTATAGATAATAGGATATTATATAATATGTAGCATAGGGATAAATAGGAGATAATTAAGAGGGAAGGCACTGGAGTTAAGAGGGGTTGGGAAAGGCTTCCTGTAGAAGGTGGGATTTTGGCTGGGACTTGAAGGAAGCCAGGGAAACCAGAAGATGGTGATGAGGAGGGAGAGCCTTCCAGGCTTGGGGTACAGCCCCAGAAGATGCTGAGAGCCTAGAGATGGAGCATCTTGGTGAAGAAGCAGCATCCAGGAATCCAATAGGGGGATAGTGCTGGGGGGATGTAAGGTGTAAGAAGACTGGAAAGGTAGGACAGGGCTAGGTTATTAAGGGCTTTGAACACCAACAGAGGTTTTCATATTTGAACCTAGAGGTGATGGGGAGCCACTGGAGTTTATTGAGTATGGGAGTGACATGGTCAGACTTTGCATTTTGGGGAAATTGCTTTAGTGGCTGAATGGAGGATGGACTGCGGCGGGGATGGACTTGAAGCAGGCAGAGCCACAAGCAACTGTTGTGATAATCCAGGCATGAGGCGATGAGGGTCTGCACCAGAGGGGTGGCAGCACCAGAGGAGAGAAGGAGATATATTTTCGAGATGTTACAAAGGTGAAATGGACAGGCCTTGGCAACAGCTTGGATGAGGGAGGTGAGAGAAAGGGAGGAATCCAGGATGACTCCTAGGTTGTGAGCCTGAAGAACGGGGAGGATGGTGACGTCCTCTACAGTAATAGGGAAGTTCAAAAGGGGGGTTGATAGGATCACAGAACCACTGATATAGAGTTAGAAGGGATCTTAGAGGTCATCTAACCCAACCACCTCATTCTACAGATGAGGAAACTGAGGCCAACCAAGTAGGTCACTCAGGGAATAAGCATCTTATGTGGGATTTGAACTCAGGTCCTCCAACCTTAGAGTCAGGGCTTTTTCCATTGTGCCACATAACCTCCTTTTCTCCAATCTGTTCCTTTTTCAAAGGGGGAAACTGAGGCACAAGGAAGTAATGTGACCTGCCCAAAGTAACATAACTTATTGACAGTTTGGCTACCTCACCCCTACTCCAATTTAATTCCTGATCTATACAGTTCTAATGACTCCAGCAGATCCCCATCTGACAAAGCTCTTTAAAGAAGTGTCCTTATTTCAAAGCTCATCTTTAAAAATATAAAAACATTTATGAAGTACCAGGCATTGGAAATATGAAGACAAAAAAAGAAACAGTCTCTGCCTTTTAGCAACTTATATTTTCCCGGGGAGAAGCTGGTGAGTAAATGTGAAATTCATACAAAATAAATCTGAAATAATAAGGGGAGGGGCTCTAGTTGTAATATGAGGAAAAGAACTGGGAAAAGGTGGTAGCACTTGTGCTGAGGCAAAATCCGGGAGTGGGAGTTCTCAGACTCGGTTTACAGATGAAGAAACTGAGGCTTAGACAAGCGAAATGACTTACCTAAGGTCACATCTGTTGTAAATATCAAAGATAGGAAGGAAAGCCAGCTGCTTCAACTCCAGAGTAAGCAATAATAGTTCTATATCCCCATACCAGGTAATGAGTCACCCTCCCCACCCACCCACTCCTGCCCTTTAAGGGAAGTCTTCAAGCATAGACTGGATGACCTGTCTGTTGTAGGGTGGATTCTAAGATTCTAGGATAGGTGTTCTAGGGACAGAGAGGTAAAGAAAATGGAGTATTCCAGGCATGGAAGACAGCCCATATATAGGAGTAGAGATGGGAAATTCAAGCCTGTTTGGCTGAAATTTAAGAGTAGATGAAGAGGAGTAATGTATAATGAGCCCAGAAAGGTAAACATTGGTGCCAGAGTGTGATTAGCTTTAAATGATCATTGGAAATGTTTGTATTTTATTCCTAAAGGCCATTGGGAGCCATTGAAGCTTCTTGAGTGGAGGAATGCTGTTACTGAAAAAGAGGAAGCCTGGGAAACTGCAAACCACCACTTTAATGCTAGCGGCTTCCCTTTGAAATCACCTCCAATGTATCCTGTATATATCTTATTTATACCTAGTGGTTTGCATGCTGTCTTCTCATTTAAAATGTAAGCTCCCTGAAGGCAGGGTGTGTTTTTGTCTTTCTTTGTGTACCAAATGCCTAGCACAGTGCTTGGCACATAATCAACAAACACTGATTAAGCACCTACTATATTCAACTCGGAGCAAATGTCGTATTTCTTCAACGTAAGCTCATCGTAAATGCGTGTTGAGTGACTTGTCCAACCAAAAAGTATAAAGAAGAGTGGACGGCCAGAGAAGCCCTTCTTCCTACTTTCAATATCTGGGATTTCAGGGAACTTCAGCTTTTTTGTGGGGAGAAAGGGGCCTCTGAACCCCCAAAGACTCATGAGTGGGACCTGAGTTCTGGCTACTGCTACTTGAAAGTTTGGGTTGGCCAAGTGTGGGTTCATAGACTTCTGGGAGTTATACTTAAGAGACAAATTCTCCTTGGAATACTGGACTGAGATTCCAACACCCAAAGGTCATGCTTCTATGATAGATTCTAGGTGGAAGGGTCAAACTTTCTATGCCCTCATATATACATTGGGTAGAAGAGCCTGGAAACTGGTGCTTTGGTGCCCCCTAGTGCCATATCCCAGATTAGCATGGCAGTCGTGCCGTGTTATTGTTCAGATGGGCTTTGGTTTGGTTTTTGGTTTTTCAATTATGTCTGACTCTTCTTGACTCCATTTGGAGTTTTCTTGGAAGAGATACTGGAGTGGTTTGCCATTTCCTTCTCCAGCTCATTTGACAGATGAGGAAACTGAGGCCCAGGGAAATGACACGATTTGCCCACGGTCACAAAATTGGCCAACAACAGAGCTAGAGTTTAACATCTACTGGCCAAGGGACTGACCAATGGACTGCCCAGTGATTCCTACCGTGCCTCCAGTACCCGTAACTGTTCTCACCTCCAATTCCCTCACAGTTCGTTGGCCTTCATCATCATAAACTTGCTGCTGAGATTTCAATAGGTAAATTTCATCCTACACCAAAGAGAGCCATACTTCGAAGCTGATTATAGCACCCTTCCCTCCCCCTTCCCCACCTTGACTTCCTCCTAAAAATAAATCCAAGTGTGATTATAGATTGTAAGCTATATAATTATTAGCTTCTCTTGGCCCAGCAGCCAAACCAGGAGCTAGAGTTGCCTCCTGAAACAGTTTGTTTACATTGAGGCAGTTCCCTTTGTCACTGGTGAAGAGGGACACCTGGTCTTCTTTTCATGGGCTCTGGAGCTCAGAGACTTTAGGAAGCATTGAATCTGATCCCCTCGTTTTCCAGAGAGGAAGCCCAGCCTCGAAAAAGTTTAGTCCTTAATTTAAAAGACCTGGGTTTGGATCCCACCTCTGACATTTACTAGCTTGTGTGACCCCAGGCAGGTTGTTTCTGAGCCTCAATTTCCTCATCTGTAAAAAGGGTATAATAATAGTCGCTAGCATCTATATAGTGCTTTAAGGTTTGCAAAACATTTTACATGTTATTTATGCTAATCCTTACCTCTTAGGGAGGTAGATGCTCTTATTATCCCATTTTGCAGATAAGGAAATTAAGGCAGACCGAGGTGAAGTGACTTCCCCAGTTTCACAAGCTAGTAAGTATTTGAAACTAGATTTGAAGTGAGATTTTGCTGACACCAAGTCTAATGTGCTATCCAATGCCACCAGCTGTCTCTAATATATATATATATATATATATATACACACATATACATATACATATACAGACATATATGTATGTGTATATATACATACATATACATATATATGTATATGTGTGTTTGTATATATAATAAACTTGCCTTGCGTGGACATCCCTCCTCAGGTTCAAGTGAAGGAGATGATTTGTGTAAAACCTGAAAGGTACTAGATAAAGGTAACTGAGTGAGTACAGCACTATACCTGGAGTCACCAAGAACTGAATTTAAAAGCAGCTGCAGACACTTTATTTGTTGTGCAGAGCTGGGGCGGTCACTTCACTTGTCTGCCTCAGTTTCCTCAACTTAAAATGGGGGTAATAATAGCACCTCAAAACATTATATAAATGTTAGCTATGGTGATAAATAGGAGTTATCAATTCAGAGGGGAAACTGAGTCAGCCCAGAGCAGAGGCATTTAAGAACACAAAGAAGAAACCTCAGAGGTCATCTAGTGCAACCCCCTCATTTTATATATGAGCAACAGAGGTCCAGGGAAATAAAAGTGATTTACCTAAGGTCACAAAAGGAAAAAGATTCAAAGGTAGAATTTGGACCCAGAGCTCTCTTACTCCAAATCCAGTTTCCACTTTCATAAGAAGGAACTGACCTTCCCAAATGAGACTGGTATTTTATGACAGGTGATAGATAGATAGATAGATAGATAGATAGATAGATAGATAGATAGAT